AGTGCAAGGTCCTGCCTGCACTGGGGCATCTCCTAGTATCAGTAGAGGCTGGAGGATGAAGTGATCGAGAAGAGTCTGGAGAAAAAGGACTTGAGGATACTGGTGGATGAGCCAACAACGTGAGCTCACAGCTCAGGCCAATCGCATTCTAGTCTGCATCAAAAGAAGTGTGATCAGCAGGTCGAGAGAGGCGATTCTGCCCCTCTGCTCTGGTGAGACCCCAGGAGTACTGCATCCAGCTCTGGAGCTCTCAACGCAAGAAGGATGTGGACTTGGTGGAATGGGTACAGTAGTGGGTGACAAAAACGATCAAAGAACTGGAGCACCTGTCCTACAAAGGCAAGCTGAAGGAGTTGGGGCTGTTCAGCCTGGAGAAGACAAGGCTCTGGCAAGACCTTGTAGTGGCCTTCCAGTACCTGAAGGAAGCCTACAGGAAAGCCGGGGAGGGACTGCTTGCAGGGGTCTGTAGTGACACAACAAGGGGCAATGCTTTTAAACTAGAGCAGGGTAGATTTAGATTAGATGTTAGGAAGGTGTTTTTTACTATGAGGGCGGTGAAACACTGGAACAGGTTGCCCAAAGAGGTGGTGTCTCCGTTCCGGGAGACATTCAAGGTCAGGCTTGATGGGGCTCGGAGGAACCTGATCTAATTAAAGCTGTCCCTGCTCACTGCAGGGGGGTTTGACTAGATGACATTTAAAGGTCTCTTCCAGCTCAACACATTCTATGATTCTGTGATAAATATTTCACTCTCCTAAACACTCATTTTTGAACCAGATGGGCAGGCAAATTGAGCACTTGCAGCGAGCCTCTGAGAATATTCCTTCTTAGTTCTGGCATCCCAGCTTTCCACATACAGTCAGGTCACACTTCCACCATTCACTCATTCTGTTCCCATGAACCTCTCAGCCCACTCAAGTTTTCAGCATCAGCACTGCATGGGAATATTTGTAGGGATATTCCTTAGCTGAGCCATCCTTTCACATTTTTCTGCTTGTGGGGGGTTTCTTGTTGCAAAGTAGGTCTGAATGAGCAGACTACAGAACTTTTTAAGCCCACTGATAACAAAAAACAGTCAAAACTCCTAAAAAATTGGAAAGCTCGATAGTGGTCACTTGAAATTAACATGTCAGAGAAAGTATGTGTGACACAGGATGCCTTTTTAAAAGGATGGCTGTTTCTCCCCGATCTACTAAATCTCACCTGTAGAAACAAAAGATTTTTAACTGACCAAGGATGAAGGAATTTCAGAGGCTTCCACAGTCATCAGCAGGTGCTAGCTCCCACTTCTTCAAACAATTTCATTAAGGCCAGAAACTATTTTCCAGTCTCAGAATAAAAATCCAATATTCTTCCTATATATAAAATCTTTGTGCTGAGTTTTCTGTAGAAAAAATAAAAATAAACCCGCCCCGCAAACAAAAAACTGACTGATGGATCTCATATTAGACTATACAAATCTTCTTTAGTTTAACCTGAATTTATGATAGCTCTGCTAACTACTACTTTACACAACAATTAAAATCCTGCCATTGTGGAATGCAGAAGCCACTGACCTGCTTGAAAAGTGTACAAAGCACTGCATTTAAACATCCAGCTCTTTATCTTTGCATTGTCTGGAACTCTAAGCAGCAGATGGTTGCTGCTTTTGTGCAGCCCCTCCTATGCTATCTCAAACATTTTAAGGGCTCTGCCTCAGATTAAAGATCAAGTAGATCTGCTTCAGTGTAATGCAAACTGCAAGGATTTGGCTGTACAATGGACAAGTATGTATTTTGGCATGCATGCAGGCACGTAAAGCTTTTTAATCAGGACACCTTTGATAGAGATATTAAATAGTGATCATATAGTGCTGAGAAGCACTGGTGCAATCATCTCTCATACTCCAGCGCCAAGGAACTGAACTGATCACATGCAGTGAATGAAATTACAGTATGGCCATAAGGATGTGCAGCAAAACCAATCAGTGCCACCAACACCCCAGCAAAGCATGAAGTCGTAACTGCGTTTTGGCTTACGTACTCATGCAAAACATCTCTCACAGCCTAGCCTTCTTCTCCCTGCTGATTATTGTGTTTTTAAATTTGACTGCAACGAGGCAGGAGCTACAATAGATGTGGGTCAGGCCAACTTCTTTTTTACAATGTTATTTACCAGTGGGTACTTCCTTCCGGAGGGAAGTACCTCTAAAACAGAGGTACTGAACAAGCCTATGGTCATGGAAAAATTGCTTTCAGCACTGCTTGCTACAAAAGGTACAGTAAAAAGAACAACCAGAATGGCAGTTACAAACACAGAAATAAACCACAATGATTAGTATAGCTGGTCTCCCCTCCTTCTGGATGTACCCCAGGATCACTTTCAGCAATTCCTGATATCCTGATATGTGGGAGCTTGCCTGATCTTTTGTTTATGACATTCATATTTGAGCACACATATCTATTCACAAAGTAGGAGAAATGGCTTCTGCAGCTTTATCTAGCGAAGACTAGCAGCTGAGAATTCTCTTTACATGTCCACATGTGCTCTAGTATCTGCTCTCCTAAGTTGATTTCAATATAATTTTAACACGGGATGTCAGTGTCTTATCTGCTGAGCAACCTTTCCACTTACTGCATGCAGCAGATGATAAAAAGCTGAATGTTATCTTCACCTGCTTCAGAGTTCATCCATGCCAAGTGGAACTCAGTATCTGAAAAGGGCCTTCACTCAGGAAGTAATTCCAAATTCTGTTAGCTCTCCAGAGCATACTGCAGACATTTTTCCTTTCCTTGGTCTCTCAGAGAAGAAACTGAGCTCCTGGCTTTTATGTGAAGATCTTATTTTTTTATATTTAAACGAGCAATGCTCAAGTGAAGGGAAGGAATTAAACAAAAGTTATCAAGTCAAACCACTTTAGTTCTTGGGTGAGCAGCTGAAACTACATCAAAAGACTTTCATCAAGCCAGAGATTTTGAATGGAGAAAGACAATTGCACGTGACCACATCATATCCCAGCAACCAACAACAAGAAAATACAAAGAGAAGAGGAAGCAGTCACTCACATTTTGGCAGAAAGCCAGCAAATTTCTACAGAACAGAGACCCAAACATTCCTGAAGGCATGCCAGCAGAGCCTTGGAGTATGCCACATTAGCAGCTTCGTAGGACAGCTGGAATTCTGGGCCAAGGTCACCACAATGAACCAGGTGCTGTAAAATGAAAACATGTCTCCACTCTTACCTCTTCTGAGAAACAGTGAATGCCAGGGACAGGCAAGGGAGAAAGAAAAAATTAAAACTGAAGACAATTTCTATTAACTCATGCCAAGGCACATAAGCCTACCCATGATTTCATGTCTTGTTTCTTTGCATCATGGAGCATGCTACAAGCAGGGGACAAAATGGCAGCATTCAACATATTATAAAGTGCACAGTGAAAATTAAAATAAAAGCAAGGATGCCTTTAGTAAACATGGAAAACCAGAAATCCCTGTATCATCCTTTGGTTTATGACACCAAGAAGTGCTTCCAACAAGAGACCTCAGGAGTCAGGTTCTGTTTGTTTTGGTTTTTTTCCAGACAAAATAAGCATTTAAGTACTGCCAGATCTGTAACTTGACCATGTAAATATAATTTCAAAATACAGATGTTCATCAGCTATATGAAAAAATAAACCTTTAAAATAGATAAAATCCTCCAGTAGAAACATTTATTCAACTATTTTACACAGTAAGCCAATTAAGGCAAAATATATTACTTGGAGATAAGACAGGGTTTCACTGGGTACAAATACGAGCTGGCTTAACAGTACATTATATATAAAAATGTTCTTTCAAAGCATCTAAGAAAGGTAAAGGCAGAGCAATATAAGCTGAAAAACTGCTTCTTTAAGGCAAAGAAAAAGTATTTGCTTATTCTTAATTTTTTTTAAAAGTATTATTACCAAAATATTTTTTCACAATTACTCCCATATTTCTAATCAATGATTTACGACTGTGTGAGCATGGATAGAGGGCATTTAGAGCTGTGGAAAAAAAAACCGAAACCACATACCACTGAAAACTTACATGAGAAATCACGAGCTCGTAACATGAAGGTGGTAATTAAGAGTTAAAAAAAGTTTAAAAAACCCAGGATATTGAAGCAAGTAATACACATCTCACCATTTTACACATAAAATTGCTGACCATAACTTGCTAAAAGAATTTACGCAACTACATATAAAATATGAAGTCTGGAAGCACTGGACTACATTACAGTGTTGAAATTGATGAAATAATTTCATGTGTATGTGGTACCTGATCTAAAACCCCATGAAGCAAATTGAAACTTGTCTAGTGTTTTAATTGGACATGAATTTCATTATCATTACATAAAAAGACACAGCATGGAAAATGAGATTTCAAAGTTATTTAGAAACAATTTCAACTAATGGGGCATGGATCTGTGCTCTTACTCAGCAGCTCACCGTTAAGTGTTGTAAAAACTATTCAGCATCAGTCCTGAGAACTTATACACTATACACAGACACCAAATTTAGCAGGTGTTAAGTACCACCTAAGCACAGGCCCCAAGAAAGTATCTAATACAAACAATAATCTCTCTGGATTGAAATGCATACATAACATACATGTTTATATTACTAATGTAATAGAAATAGCTAGACAATTAACTCCTTTAAAAAAGTATGATAACTAAAATATTTCAGCAAATGCCTAGTAAGGTATAAAATAATAGCACATTCCACTTCACAAACTGTAATGCTATTTATCCCCATTATAAAGATATGTTTGTTCTGATTTCCTGTTTTGTGAGTCATACTGGAAATCATATAGTACTTAAAAATTGCAACTGCTCATTTCCACTAATGGAAATTACCTTCACTTCTCAAAAAAGTAAAATACAGTTTACAGTTAGATTACAAATCTGTACTATATCCACTGAGAATTAGAATATATAGCTTTCACTTCAATTCTAGAACCAAACTCCGTGTTCCTTAGTGTCATGGACAAGCCTTCTTTCAAACCGTCCTGGGTGGTAACTGTTTTTAGCCTTGGCTGCACTGTAGATCATCTGTCGACGGGACATGCCAGTGAATACCATGTGCCAGTCAGTCCTGTTGACGTTCAGTACACTCTTCTCAAGCACTTCGCCCACGGTCACCAACAGGCCTGACCATCTCAGACTGTAATCCTGAGGAGTGAGACTCTTAGCCTGTGTAACATTTGAGAAATGGATTATTGAAAGAGTTTGAAATGAGAACTTCTGCTTCTGTCTTCACCGTTACCAACTTCCTGAGTTACCATTCTTCTGTCAGTAGGACTAAAGGGTATCAGATAGGATTAAAGGGTATAGGATTAAAGGGTACCAGAATCCAAATTTCAAACTGCCCTGTAATTTGTCTAACCAATTACATTTTTTTGGATTTGTATGTGTCATGGTACAAATGACATCTGAACAGTATAAACATGAAATATAATGCTTAAGAGAGTAAAGACAGTCTGCCATTACTAGGAAGTAGTCTTCTCTTTTAAAGGAGCCAACAGATGGAATCAATAATAATACATAGTTACACAATGACTCTTATCTTCCAAAGGTTATAAAAACACTTGGAATGTCCCCCTGAAACAGGCAAGTATCCAAAGACAAGAAGAAAGTCGAGCCTAGTGGAAGCTGAGCACTGAGCTATTCATATGAGATCAGAGAAAGATTATGGTAATTCCCTAAAGTTCAAAGAAGGGAAACAGTGGGGGAAATACCATTGCGTTTATCTGGTCTAATGCTCGTCCAAGGCAACCACTCCCGGCCACCGTCGCATACAATGAAGTGTAGAAGACTTTTAGCCTTATTAAGGCTTTTTGTAATATTACTCAGTTTTTCATAACATTGCACACCGTGCCCAGTTCTTCATGCAGATTTTATTCTGACATATATTCAAGTTAGTCTGCTTCTAGTGCATGTACAGCAGATCAAAGTTCATTAGTGTGTTCCAGTCTTCCTAAAACTACTGTCTTGCAACAGTAACAGCATGTATGTTTGCTGAAATATGCAGTCTGCTCCAATATCAAAATAACATATTACTATCAAGAAGTACATAAAAGACAGATGACACCAAGCAGGGTGGAAGTGCTGATCTGCTTGAGGGTAGGGAGGCTCTCCAGAGGGATCTGGGTAGGTTCGATCACTGGGCAAAGGCCAATCCCATCAGTTTCAACAAGACAAAATGTCGGGTCCTGTAGTTCAGTCACAACAACCCCCAGCAGCGCTACAGGCTTGGAGGGGAGTGGCTGGAGAGCTGCCAGGCAGAGAGGGACCTGGGGGGGTTGATGGACAGCCGGCTGAACATGAGCCAGCAGTGTGCCCAGGTGGCCAAGAAGGCCAACAGCATCCTGGCTGGATCAGGAATGGTGTTGTCAGCAGGAGCAGGGAGGTGATCATTTCATTCCACTCAGCTCTGATGACGCTGCACCTCGAGTACTGTGTCCAGTTTTGGGCCCCTCCCTCAGTACAAGAGGGACACTGAGGTGCTGGAGAGGGTACAGAGATGGGCTACCAAGCTGGTAAAGGGCTTAGAACACAAGTCTTATGAGGAAAGGCTGAGGGATCTGTTCAGCCTAGAGAAGAGGAGATTGAGGGGAGACCTCATCGGTCTCCACAACTACCTGAAGGCAGGCTGTAGAGAGGTGGGGGTTGGTCTGTTTTCCCTAGTGGAGAGTGATAGGACGAGGGGAAATGGATCCAAATTGCGCCAGAGGAGGTTCAGGTTAGATATTAGGAAGAATTTCTTTACTGCGACGGTTGTCAGCCATTGGAAGAGGCTGCCCAGGGAGGTGGTGGAGTCACCATCCCTGGAGGTGTTTAAGAGACGGTAGATGTTGAGCTGAGGGACATGGTTTAGTGGTGTTGACAGGGCTAGGACACAGGTTGGACTCGATCATCTTGAAGGTCTCTTCCAATGAAAACTGTTCTATGATTCTAAGACGACACCTGGTCTTTTATCAGGAAAAGGTTCTTAAAGCACGCCCTCAAATCCTCCTTCTTACCTCCTCAAATAAGTAATATTTAGAATCATAAACATTCATGAGTGTCATATCACGTTCCATCACTAAAAGCATTAATAAAAGAGTATCTATTCTATAAAGACAGTTTTACCACTATTTTCATTACACAGAACAACAAAACACATAGCTAGCTAGAATTTCAAGGAACATATTTGCTTTTAAGTCATCTGTACTGTGAAGAACAGCAACATCTGTACCACACAAACATCTTCTCTGTTCTTAGTATGAAATACAACTATACAATTGTTGTGTTTCTTTCCTGTCGTAATTTAGATTTTTCTTAAAGAGATTGGACTGGATTTATACAAACATATATTTCTTGGACACCCCTGAGAGAAGCCCACTCTGGTTCTAGAAGAGACAATGTGAACAAAGGTAACAGCTGACACACCCACATATTCAGGAGACCAATGACATATCATCACACTTTATGCCTAAGTTAACCGAAATATATAATAGCAAGACTAAATTTAACTTAGAAGGCATGAAACAAAGCTAAGTTTTGCTGTTGATGTATATACATGAATAGTTTTTCTTTAAATGGGAGAGTACAATTCAATCTAATTGAAGTTTAAAGGCTTACACTTTCACTGAATCTGTACACCAAGCTACAGATTAAATGGGTTGCAGGAAAGAACAAGAATGTTTTCTGCTATTATAAGGCAAACACTACTTGTCAAAGACAAAAAGTATGCTTACCCAAGTGAAAAAATACTCAAGAGAGTTAAGCTATTAACTATAGTTTTTAAATGACAAAATAGAGAATATTGAATAAAACAAAACAAAACAAAACAAAGTATGACAACTACTTAAGTAGTAACTTCACATTGCTGTCCCTGTTTTCACAGAATCATAGAATGGCTTGGTTTGAAAGGAACTTCTAAAGATCATCTAAGTCAATGAAGTGGTATCTCCTTAATTAATCTTTTTTTCTTGTAACTTCATGGCATTCTGGAAAACTACAGACGTTTGTGAGTAAAACTATAGATGCTTGTAAGTAAAACTCAGAAATGTTTACTCTGTTAGAACTGGTACTACAAAAAAAATAGTTTTTTTTTTAAATTCTCTACAGAAACATTTCTTTAAAAAGAATTTTCAGACCAGAGTTGACTAATGTATGACTCATGTCTGCCATCAGGCAACATGCAGCAGCCAGAGTTTGGAGTATTTCCAGTACGTGCCCAAAAAACATAAGCAATCTCATTAAAAGCTTCTATTGGTCATAAATTTAAGAACTGCATAGTACTGCATGATTTTCAAAGGGATAAACTATTTCCAAGATTTAAATCTTTCCATTTCAGAAATTTTACATCCTTGTCAGAACAGCACAGTCAGGAGAAGAAATCAGTCTTGCCTTTTAGGTGACGGTATGTTCACGGTGGAACTAAGCTCAAGCACAGATCTGGGCTTTCTTTACTAGGAATGAATTTTCAGAATACTGATCAGTACAGTATGCTGTCTGTTTGCTCATAATTAATAACAAATACTATGGTTTTATAGGCTTTATTAAAATTTGAGTGGATCTCAATTTATGAAATTGAGCCTAAATGAAGTGTAAGCTACTTCACTGAATTGCTAACAAGTCCATGTGTCCATACAGACACTTCACGATTACGGTTTTGTTGACGTTAGATTAAACTCCAACACATATCTTATACATATATTTGTTTATGTATTGTATACTCCAGTTACATGAAGTTAAGGAATAGAAATCAAGCCTTCAGATAGTTAAGAGTACTTAGTGCAATTCCTTGGTGCAGTTGCTTAGTGCATTACTTAAGCTGCAAAGATCTTCTGCACCACAGGAAGAATAAGTACTCTTAGTCTATCTGTGTAGCAATTCATGAGGGTTAATTCTGAGTCACTGAACCAGACTTATGACAATATTTCAATGATAAAGTTATATTTCCTTTTTGAGGGAATACTTCTTTGTGGCAAATTTCTTCTTCGTTAAGATTTCCTCTTGGTTACTTAGTTCTTGGAGTATTTCTTCATTAATAGAAAAGTAAAGCTAGTGCTTCCAAGTGTCATGTATTGCAAAATGAGACCCTTGATCAAGAACTGCTTTAACACAAATGCTTGAAGATTTTTATGCAATACATAAACAAGACTTATTAATAATCTTTATCCTAATTTCATAAATTAAACCACTGAACTGGATCAGCTGTCAGTAGGAATTGACATAATAAAAAAACCTTCAAGCCTTATGTCTCAACTGCTAATTAATGCTCTTAGAAAACTGAAAACTCACCTGC